CTAAACTAACCTTATATACAAAAGTTCACACAAAAACACAAGTGAACCAGGAAGACAAATAAGGGAAAACAAGAGTAATAAACAGGAGCAGGGTACAAAAAGAACACAAAAGTTGAGCATGTAACACTGGGGCAAGGTAATGACAAAACAAGGATAAACACACAAACAAACAAAAGTACAAAGAAACTAACGTAAATCGAACAAAACAACAAAGCCGAAGCTATACGAAAATACACACACACAAAGCAAAACAAACCAACAAACGAAGCCGAAGCAATAACCAGGAGCGAAGCGAAAACCAAAACCGAACGGGACCGATGTCAAACGAAATGCCTCTTCTTTCTGAAAGCCTCCATATTATATAGTGAATAAGATGTGTTCTGATTGGCTGAGGCTAATTAATGATGACATCATACTGAAACAGTGGAGTGATGGTGGGCCAATGGGGAAAGGAGAACAATCAAGGGTCAGCAGTGTGGAACATAGAAAAAAACACACACAGAACACACACTGGGACGTAACATAAGTCATAACAATAGACAAACACAATCTGCCTAAATTAATAATACACCAACAACAGTACTTCTTCTTGTCAGTACTGAACACATTGTTTAAACATTCACAGTCTAGGTTGGAAAAAGTATGTGAACCTCTTGGCTAATGACTTCTCCAAAAGCTAGTCAGAAATATCAGAGGACCTTAGAAGAATTGTAGAGATGCATAAAGCTTGAAAAAGGCTACAGAAGCATTTCTAAAGGCCTGGGTGTTCATCAACCAACAGTAAGACAAATTGTCTACAAATGGAGTAAATTCAGTACTGTTGCTACTCTCCCTGGGAGTGGGTGTCCTGCAAACATCGTGGCAAAAGCGCAGCTTGCCATGCTGAAGGAGGTGAAAAAGAACCCTAGGGTAACAGCTAAGGACCTGCAAAAATCTCTTGAACTTGCCCAAGTCTCTGTTCATGTGTCCACTATAAGAAAAACACTGAACAAGAATGGTGTTAATGGAAGGACAACACGGAGGAAACCACTGCTCTTAAAAAAAATATTGCTGCACGACTCAAGTTGGCAAAAGACCCCCTGGATGTTCCACAATGCTTCTGGGACAATGTTCTGTGGACTGGTGAGACATAAGTTTAGTTTTTTGGCAGAAATGCGCAACACTATGTTTGGAGGATAAAAAAAACACTGCACACCAATGCCAAAACCTCATCCCAACCGTGAAGCATGCTGGAGGGAGCATCACGGTTTGGGGCTGCTTTGCTGCCACAGGACCTGGACAGCTTGCTATCATAGAGAGAACAATGAATTCAAAAATATATCAAGACATTTCACCTGAGAATGTCAGGGTAGTGGTCCGTCACCTGAAGCTTAATAGAAGGTGGGTGATGCAACAAGACAATGACCCGAAATACAGGAGTAAGTCAACATCAGAATGGCTTAAACAGAAGAAAATTAGTGTTCTGGAATGGCCAAGTCAGAGTCCAGACCTCAACCCAACTGAGATGTTGTGGCATGATCTGAAGAGAGTCGTTCATGCAAGGAATCCCAGAAATATCAATGAACTGAAACAGTTTTGTTAGGAGGAGTGGTCTAAACCGTTGTGCAAGTCTCATCAGTAGCTACAGGAAACGTTTGGTGGAGGTTATTGCTGCTAAAGGAGGGTCTACCAGTTACTAAATACAAGGGTTCACATATTTTTTTCAGCCTGGACTGTGAATGTTTAAACAATGTGTTCAATATTGACAAGAAGTACAATTGTTTGTGTGTTATTAGTTTAAGCAGATTGTGTCTGTCTATTATTGTGACTTAGTTGAAGATCAGACTGCATTTTTATGAGTAATTAATGCAGAAATCCAGGTAATTCTAAAGGGTTCACAAACTTTCTTGCAACTATACATCTTTTTTTTGCCTATACTGCCTGCAAGGATTTGGTTGCCCCCATTTGCTGAGTGTAATAAAAGTAATTCACAATAATGGAAGTGGCCCCAGTCCTTCCATTCGTCATGTGTTCAATGCTGACTCCCAGCAAGGACAAGGTGTGAATTTGGAACCCAGTCCATCGTGTTTAGTTGGTTTGTACAGGTTTGTACACATTATTGTTGGGCCTTTTCAGGTCAGCTAACAATGACATTAGTACAGAATGTGTTCTAAATATTCTGTGTAATTAAATTCTAGCACCCTTTTATATTATCCAAGTTGACATTTAATTAAAACGAAACGATAATAAATTAATCTTGTTAAACTCTATTTGTTTTAATGAAGCATAATTGTAACAATCATTAAATGTAAAAGGCCCATTGTTATTGCAGTTTGTATCATGTCAATAATACAAACAGTGGTATCTAATAATACCAGACTATGGAATGCATAGGGAAGTTGTAAGAAATGTTTGACATTTGTGTGAGTATTTGCTTGCTTTTAATTATTTTAAAATGATATTCTCAGCATGTGCTTAATCAAAAATAATGCCCTGAGAATGGGATTGCGTTTGGCACCATTTTTGTGCCATTTACAGTTTCATACTTTTGGAAGGCCTGCATGAATGCTAAAATATAAAATTCCTATCTGTGTACATGACAGACATTTTCTTTTTTACAGTATGAGTCATTTAAGGATTTCAAAAGAAAATAATTAAATGGTCAACAAAGATGTCTTTATAATTTTTTCTTTAAGATTGTAGCTTCAAGGAAACATAGATTGCAAATGACAGCATTGTGTTCTTTTATATTTCATTTTAGGTTTGTGACAATTTGCAAAAGTTAAAAACAAAATCCATTTACAAAATCCTCCTGATGTAATTATGTATAGCACTCTTTTAGGTGAAATGCACATTTTACAACCTTCAATTTAAAATTGAAATTTTGCACGTAGGAATGTTCCGATATGGATCAGAATCCCAGTTGTATTAAGCTTATGTAAGATCACACGTGTATGTGTAAGAGTTTAAGATATTTTGTAATATGTGTAATTTGTCATTTCCCTTTTTGACAGTCTTTAATCTCTAAGGTACAGTTTACTACAGCTCCACGACACATGCTCAGCTAAAAAGTCCCTTTGTCTATAGGTACATACTGTAAGTAAACAATTAGCACATTGTTTAAGGCAATTTTATTGCTGTTTGTCTAGTTGACCTTGTAGATTAAAAGCAATGTATATTTAAAATGAAAAACAGAACAGTTAACTTGTTTAATATTTTAGATATCGGCTTCAGCCTGAAAAATTGTTTTATTTTTTGTGTTCTTGCATGTTTATTTTTGAGTCCTTTTTTATGTTTTAATATAATATTTTTATTCTTGTTTGTTAATATCTTGACTTGATGTCTCCTTTTTTAGTAGAGGTAGCATATTGTTTAGAGGCTTGTATGTTGAATTTAATGAAAATGGTGCAACTAAAAAACCGAATGCAGTGGTTAAAAACCTCACCTTTAACAACTGAAGATTCTGCAGGATCTTCACTGATATATTATATATCGACATTTTAGATATTTTTAGGGTCCTGGAACAGAGTCATGGGTTCAGTCCCAGGTGGGACACTGCTGTTGTACCCCTTAGCAAGGTACTTTGTTCAGTTTGCACTTGTCAATGCTTTGTTTAATATACATGTCTCTAGGTCATTTTTGTAATGGGAATTTGTATGCAGTTGATTTATACAGTAAAATAAAGGCACAAGTGACCTGCACTAGAAAATTAGGTTCTTTAACAAAAAGTTTTTCAGAGTTTTAATGATGGAAAAAGTATTGTATTCTTAAAAGCATTTACACACTGCCTTATAACATCTTGACTTGTTCATTTTCCTTGTAATATGTTGTTTCTTACTGAAGCTTTTGTAATTTGCCTATGACAAAGGTATAAAACCAATCATAATATGTTTGTTCAGTGTCATTCATCTGTAGTTGTATAAAGTGTGTTCCACTGAAAGTAGCTTCTTTTTTGTATTTCTTCCAGATGGACTGGTTGTCATTGGAGTTCACTCTGCGAAATTTCCAAATGAAAAAGTTCTGAGTAACATCAAAAGCGCAGTGCTGCGGTATAATATCACTCATCCTGTTGTCAACGATGCCGATGCCAGACTTTGGCAGGAACTGGAGGTTTCGTGTTGGCCAACACTGGTCATCATAGGCCCAAGAGGAAACCTGCTTTTTTCTCTGGTTGGAGAGGGACACAAGGAGAAATTATTGCTTTTTGTACAAACAGCTTTAAAGTACTACAATGACAAAAGAGAGCTGAAATATAACAGCATAGGATTAAAGCTCTACAGGGATTCTTTACCTCCATCCATTTTGTCCTTTCCGGGTAAAGTAACAGTGGACCGCACAGGACAACGCCTCGTGATAGCGGACACTGGACACCACAGGATTCTTGTCGTCACGAAAGCTGGACAGTTACTACACACGGTCGGAGGCATGTTCTTTTGATTGATACACTTTATACAAGATCAGAGCTGCAATTTACACACATAAAATTAATAATGCTTAACTTGTTTATTCGGTGCCATGTATCATGTAAATTCTGGGCATAATAATTACAAAGGCTGTCACAGATTTTTAAAGTGGGCTTACATCTTGGATTCAGCTTACAGCAAAGACCCCCTGTACACAGGAAGAACAATGAAGTGCCGGCTGGCTCCTCCGCCCTACCCACTCTCATTGATTGATAACTTATTGCACTCCTAATTCAATCGCATTCTATAGGCTCTACTGTATAGAGATGTACAGGAGGTGCAGCACGTATTGGAGGCATCAACTCTGCAGGTACCTGGGAAGTCTAGAGATCCCGGTTTCATGGGGAGCTATGAGAGCACTGGCTGACTAATTGCAAGCCAGCCTGTCGTGGCACTGAGCCAGTCATGCTCTACCACTTGCGAAATGCTAATCACAGTCAACTAGCGACATGACCCTGGCTAGAATGTACTGTATGATGTCAGCATCATAGAGCTCAACCTGCACTCGGTGCCAGCCTTGTTAGCAGTTGGTGCCCCTATAGTCAGGAACAATTTAACTTCTCCACATGAAAACATGAATTCCCTACTGCTTTAGAATGTATTTTTTTTATGGTTTAATCTGTTTTTTTTTTTTTAAACAATAGTCTAGTTATGGTATTGGGCTGTATATTGCAGCTCTAGTGTACTGCAGTTTGTCTCATTTCACTTCTTTATATCCAAGAATAGGAAATTGCACTTTCAAATAAACTCAGAGATGTAAAGGTCTGAGACAAGAGTCAGACCTCATTTGCTGGTATGCTGCCAAATTACTTAAGATTATTGTTTAAGTCCTTAATAATCAGGCAAACATCCAGTCAGCTTGCTGCTTGGCTTTAACCTGTCACAGTAAGTAAATGATTCATGCCACAGACAGATTTGTCCATACTTTGTGGATATCACATAACATTTAAAATATTTTACTTTAAAGGGCAGCACTTTGAGAAGCTACAGGTATTTTCATTGTACACTGAATTTTTCTATTCAAAGACAATATAATTTGAGTTTAAGTGAAACCAGCTGATGGTCAAATTGGAGGTTGGGGGAACCTAGATGTATTTGAAATGGAGACCTTACAGAAACTGTCAGCCCAGCCTAAGAATGCACTGGGTTTAGTGAGCTACAGTAAGTGCTATTTTCAGAAGTATTTTTTCGACAGGCAAAAGGTTTTAACAGCAGTTAACTTCATACACAGAGGATAGAAAGCGTCCAAAACATGTTTAGAAAAGTTGGAAATATTGCCCAGCAGTGATGAAGTATTGGAAAAAGATTTTAAAACTTTCTCCTATGAGAATGACTTTAGGAAAGTATGTTATTATGCATGAAAACTTTTTTAGGCAAGGATATAAAAAAAACTAACCCTGAGTTTGCGGGAAGATATACTTGCCCTTATTGAACACACATTCTTTTGTCACTTTTTTTAAAATGTATATTTATCGCTCCGTTCAAGATAATTGCAAGTGTGTATGTATGCGTTGGACTGTCTGGGAAATGTTTCTTAAAGGCATTTTAACATTCTCCAGTGAAATCTTTATTCTACTCGCACACTAACTTATTTCATTCTTCTTATTGTATTTTTAGGTCCATCCAGTGGAAGAAGAGATGGTGGGTTTGCAGAAGCAGCTTTCAGTTCTCCTCAAGGAGTTGTAATGAGGGATGACACAATTTATGTGGCAGACACAGAAAACCACCTGATACGAAAGGTACTGAAGGGTTTGACTATAAAGAAATAGTTTGTGACAAAACTGGTGAGAGAATCGTGTATACTTGTGCTTCTAATCTATAGAGGTATAAGCATAGAATTAGAAGTATACTTCTAATCTAATCTTCATTTCTAAACTAACAGAATTCACTTTATCTGTGTGTGTTATCAGTACAGTTATTTATAGGCCAGTCCTGCAGAAGAGGATTAACAATAGCTATTGACAGTACATATTTGTTTTTTACTTTTGATTTGTGACATTTATATCAAAATACTCTTTCTTCCTCCCCCATCTGGTAAATAAGTTATAGTTATTTCCCACATAAAATATCATCTTATATTCAGGTAAAGCAGGTGAATGTAGATAACCTAGAATCATACTCTTAATTATAAATCTGAAATTATTTTCGAGTGTATAAGATTTAAATAATTAGCTCATTTACTGGGTGAAGTTAAAATTTAGACCTTACTGAGTGTTTCATTGTGTTACAGGTTGACCTGTTGGAGGGGAAGGTCAGCACTGTAGCAGGAATTGGAATCCAGGGCACAGACAAATGTGGGGGAGCTATGGGACCACAGCAGCCAATCAGCTCCCCATGGGATCTGGCCTTGGGCAGTGCAGGTGAGATCCTCGGACAGCCTGGTATTGTGATAGATTTGTTTCTAGTGTGGCTATAACTGAGAAGAGTCCTTCTAAACCACTGTGATACCACCAAGGGGACAATGCAGTAGCTGGTGTCTTTTGATAGGCAGGCCTCAGGAAACAGACACTTTTACAGGCAAAAAAAAAACAGTGCTCTCTTTATACTGTGTAGTGAAACTCCAAACAGCTCCTCTTTTGAACTCTACCCAAACTTTTTTCTTCAGATGTCCTCTTAAAACCGTATAACTGACTGTTAAATACAGTCCAGCAGATCACTGTCAGGAAGTCAGGGATCTCTTTCAATTCCAAAAAAGTTGCACTCCGGTGTCCTCATGCTCATCAGTCAGCCACTTCCCTCCTTCCTTCTCCATCTGGTGAAGCACATAATAGAGAGTCTGCTCTCTTCTGACACAGCACTTGTTGACAGCCACTGGAAGCCTGGCTTTTAACTGTCACCTGACCAGTTTTCTTCCTCCAATTAGTCAGGTAACGGAGTGACAGATCATTCCCCACAGCTTTCAGGGGAATGTACAGTAACAGGCAAAAGTTTGAGTACACTTTCTTGAAACCAGGTTTTTCATGATTATCTGTGCTTTAAACTGTATAACGTTGTCTGTAAACACTTTATATTTAATTACATGAAATGTGTACTTAAAATCTTAAGTGAACTGCATTGAAAATGTTAATTGCTCATTTTCAATAAAATAAACACCCAAAGCAAGTGGATTTCAGTCTGAAGCCCAGGTGAGCTAAAAGTCAGAAATGTGTATAGCATGGTGTAAGAACACTTAAAGAAGTCTAAAATTGTCTCTGTCTGATGTTATCACAGTTAACTAGCATGTTACCTCATTTACCTTTTGTCACCAATTATTGGTAAACAGGTGAGGGTCCACGATTTCTATAAACATAGGGAGCATGGGCAAAAGTTTGTAATTCCTGAATGGACATGACAAAACATTGGTCAGCAAGCAAGGAAAAAGATGGTCTGTAATTACTTTAAGGAATGAAGGTCAATCTTTAAGGCAAATTGCAAGAACTTTAGGCCAAGACTATCAAAGTATATGAAACTGGCACTCATGAGGACTGAAAAAGGTCAGGCAGTCCAAAGGTGACCTCAGAATCAGAGAATACGTTCATTAGAGTCACAAATCTGCAAAACCGACGAGTAACTGCCCCTGAAATACAAGTGGAGCACAATGCAACTAGTAGAACAGATGTTTCAACATCAACTTCAGAGGAGATTGCACGAAGCTGGCCTACCAGGAAGAATTGCTGCAAAGAAACCATTGCTAAGAGTGCAGAATAAGAGGCAGAGACTCTCCTGGGCCAAAAACACAGAAACTGGACCTTTTTTTGGCCTAGCTAACCTGGGCTTCAGACTGAAATCTTGCATTGGGTGTTCATTTTAATGAAAATGAAAATAACATTTTCAATGCAGTTCACTTAGGATTATAAGTACAAATATTATGTAATTAAATATTAAGTGTTTATAGACAGGTTTATACAGTTTAAAGCACAGATAATCAATAAAAACCTAGTTTCAAGCAGGGGTACTCAAACTTTTGACTGATACTGTAGTTCAGACAGGATCTGCACTCTTGTATGAACCTGCTGTCCTATCGCACCACATGAAGTCGTGTTAATGATCAGATGGCTAGGTTGATAAAATAAACATGCGTTACCATTATGTCACTTCATTATGCATTGTGTTACCACACTTGCCTACATTCTGGAATCATAGTTTTTATAAATTTACGCATGCAAGAGACACTCCAGATATTTCCGTCTTGAGAAAAAGAGAAGTACTGAATTGTCATCTTTGCATACTCTGTATTGAACACTGAAACATCTCCTGGCCAAATATGACACGTGTTAATGATACTACTGCCATATTTCTGATTTTGTTAGCTGTGAGTTGTTATAAAGACCATTGCTATACCAGAGCAGGTGTGGTGGATTAATTTTCCAATGTTCACTTAAAATGCAGCTTACAATAAAATGTGAATCCACAGAGCAAAGTAAAAAGACAGAGAGACACATGTGCATGATGCCACCTCCCTTTGCTTGGCCTAGCATATTTTTATATAGTTTTCTACAGAGCCCGGCACTTTCGAGTGTTACCTTGTTTTGTGTCCAGATTTCTCCCAAACAGCTTCCAGTGTTTGAACCATTAGTTAGACACCTGTGCTCTTGAACTACAGTATTGAATCTTCGTGTGATGTCAGGTCTTGTCTCCTCAAACTGAGCAGTGCCAGTTTGAGGAACAGTGCCCCAGAAGTGGGGGGTGGGGGGGAGGAAGAGCTGATACCTCAATCTAAAAAATCTATTGTTGATAAATATTTCCAAATTCCAATTGTTGTGTACTGCCCGTTATTTTCGGCAGTCATTCACAGTTGGTTTAATGTCTGACTGCTTTTCTGTGTTTTGCTCCCTTCACATTATCATTTGGACGTGAACTGCTTAAATGTATCAGCCAGTGAGCTGTTAAATGTATATATTGGCCTAATACATTATAATATTTTATTCCCCACTCGTCTGAAATAATCAAGGAGTGATTGACTCTAGTATGGAAATATTAAAACTTGGCATGACTGCATAACAGAAAAAACAATCTGTGTTCAATGAAGTAATATTAATCAGTCTAAATCCGCAACAAACAATTCCCGGCGTATCCATTTTTTTCTGTCTTTAATAGCCTACAAGTAAAACTGGGAGATTTTTTGGGTTTGCCAATCTCCTGTTACATAATAAATGTACTGACGATTATTCAACAACATTAAAGTGATCACTCTTAAAATCTAATGTGATGAGATTTATTTCTACTTTAATTGTTTTTATTGTTAATAGTGCTCTCAGAAAAAAAAATGAAGATGGAAAAATGTGGATAATATACTATCATACTATAGTAGGTACATTAAGCTCTAATGTAACTGTTTGTGAAAAGAGGATGCATCTGGCTTCAGAATGTAATTACACAATGATTTTACTATTTTCTTACCTCTCCGTTTTTTAAAAGTCGAGGTTTCAGCAAATGTATTTAGCTTTAAGTTTGAGCAGGTTAACAGCTCTTAAGGAAATGTAAAGTTTGCAATCCAGATATTCACAAAGTGAAAGCATTTTTAAAGAAAGGGTATTGTGGGTAGACATTTTAGTTCAATTCTACTTTAGAGTGATTGTAAAATGAGATGTTAGATCTGATGTACTGCTCTAGCAGGTGGAACGCCTGAAATGATGAAACTCCATTTTACCAGTACAGATGCCATGTAGATCATCAATCATATGTTGATGTGTTGTGTGCAACACATTGCAGTCCATACTGCAGTAGGCAATGATTTGAAAAAACATTTTTATTGTTGTCTAAACTTTCGGTTTAGATTTTGATGGCAGTGGCCAGGTTATAGAAAGTAACAAATACATTTGTTAATAGTTCCATAAAATTTTAATTTGACATTTGCACTGCTATTCAATATGAAAGATTTATTTGCCTATTACTATAGTAATCTTTAAACAGTGGTGGGTTTATTCATATATTTAAGCAAAGTAACTGGAACATGTATTTGCAAAATTGCTTCCAGGCACCGTTTATGACTAAAAGTTAAATGATCTTTAAGTTAATTATTCCTTGCACTTTAATTCATAGGTAAAATTATTGATTGTCTTTTTTTGGATGAGAATTGTAAATATCCTATTAAAATCAAAGATGACTTATTTTTCCCTCCTTTCCTTTAAATGTTTGATAGTATAAGACTTTATTATTCCAACTCAAAGCAATACTTTTTGAAAAGTATTGTTTCCTTTGTTTTATCGATTTCTTCAGCTGTAAGTTGTAACCCCTTCAGTGCTATCTTTTCCACTTCTAAAAGCAAGCTCTGTCAGAACGTTTAAGGGGGAATGTGCTATTTTTTCATTGTTGAGCACATGCTGCCTTTATGGCCATACACCTATGGCTACATGTCAGGTCCTCCTCTGATTACCACACGTCAATCTCCTCAGACACTTATCTAATTCAGTCTTCTTAGCAAGTAAATTAATCTCCTTTACATGATGTCTTAGTTTGAAGAGCAGCTGCTCAATGCATGTATGCCAGTAAGCCGTGGAAGTTCGAGACACCTCACCTCATCTTGTTCACACAGATCATAGGATCCCAAATGCCTTGCACAGTGATTTCAGATGCTAGGCATCAGTGGCATTTTATAAATTAAAAGTCGTTTTTTAAAGGGGGGCATCGACAACTGGACACTAATGTTAAGTTTTACGTCTGCACGACGCAAGCCATCAATTTCCAAGTTAATTTGAAATACTTTGGTTTTACATCCTCGCTCTCATATAACTGATTCAGCTGGATGAAAAGAGCTCTGGCTTTGGCTTACAGATATAGAAAGAAAAAGAAGCTGACAGGTTTAATTTTCTGAGTCAGAAACAAATACCTTTATTAAACATGTCATACATTAACTTAGTTGCTGCCAGCCTTCCTTATCTGTTAAGAGAGCAAAGCTGCAGTCCAAACTGCAAGGAATCCACAGTGCCAGACATAGAAACTCATCAAGTCTGATCTGCTCTCAGACGAGTAGTTCACTGTTGCACCTATAGGAATGAGATTTCTTTTGATAGATCATTTTAGAAAACGTCCATGAGCTGTACTACTTCAGTGTAAAGTTATTCATTAACAGAAACATTACAGTGGTGAATAGCCTCCTCTTTTCTGGCCCTAATTATCCCATCACCTCATTTTTTCATTTATAAGATTGTGGGGGGCTGCCACACCAGTTGAGAAATGGTTCACATTAAGTTCTTCAAGGGTGTTGTGAATGCTTTGGTATTATATGCTTGGTAACACACCCATTCACACAAATAATGTATTAATGGTTTGTATTTACAATAGTATTTTATTATGTCTGTAAGCTATAGTCATGTTAATATATTTGTCATTTACAGTTAAACCCTTGTATTCAGCTGGGAGGATTACATCTAATTAAAATAAGTTGTGTTTTAAAGATGAATTTGTTACAAATAATAGGCTTATGACTCAAATCATCTTGTAGATCTGTTTGAGGTTGTTTTTTGATTCACACATGAAAGGCATTTATCCCTTCTTTTGAAACTTTTAAAACTGTGCCGAAAGCATTCTTCACTGAAACAACAGTATACTGTACATCGTGTTTTATTTCTTCTGTCTAATCTTCAGAGCAATGGGACAAAACCTCAAGGGTGCTCTTTCAGCTACTGATAGCAGCATCTTAAAATAAACACTTGCACATTTCAACCTAAGGGGCAGATTTATGGCACAAACCCAAGAAGTCCACTCCAAAGACATTTAACTAGTGGATACTAGACTGTTTCTAAAGACTTACCATAGATGTGCACGTTTCCAGATTAACAAGGGATGCTGTAAGACAAAATTCCGTAACACCAATTAATTAAATGTTACTGTTAATCAGAAATCCAGTTACAATGTATATAAATGTGGAGAAAAGAATGCATGATCATTTTTGGGGTTCAAGATTATTATATTAAATAAAACTCTAATGCAGGAGGGTGAATAAAAAATCTGTGCACTTCAGAATTTACTGCTGATAGGCACATATTTAAAGTCATGTGTTTCAGATAACCTTGAAATGGAAGAGCCTTTAGGGCACTGAATTGTACAATTTCATTTCCTCAGCTCATTCTCACGGAGACAACTGTGCACAAAATATAATAGGAATTGTATCCAAAAGCTTTTTACATGAACTTTCCTGTGTTAATTAATGTAGTTTATATGAATATATGAATTATTGAAATCTATGTATTATTTTGGTCTAGAAACTTTAAACGTTGAGTAATATAGTAGTGTTTTAAAGAATACAATTGTCTAATCTTTATTCCTTGACATAATTGTTGCTGAGAAATAAGCATTTTCATTAATTCAGTATTTCACTGAAGATGAATTAGTAGACTAATGCCCCAGTAGAATGATAATTGTGTTGTGAATGCATAAAGTTTCTTTTTTAAAACTGCAATTATAGCCATTTCTTTGTGTTTTAATTTATTTGAAGAATTCCTTGCAGTACCAAATCTTAAATGATTCTAAATTAAAATCTGTTGCCTTCAAATTAGCTGTACTAATACCTTTTCTTTTTATTGTTTTTCTGTGGGTTTATAAGTTACCTTTGTTCTAGTGCGTTTGTTTTTTTTTTGTTTTCCATTTTTTCCGTAGTGTCTCCATTTCATATACTGAGAGGTGATAAAAACTCAAATGAGTATTTGAGCCAGTAGCATCCTGTATGTTGAGATTTTAATGCCTCGGTGTATATTGGTTTACTCCCCCACACCTCACCCCCCATTTCTTCAGCAACAGCTGGATAAACAAGATATAGTCTTTTCCTGATTTGGAACTGCTTAATATTTAATCTCTGTGCCTTTTTATTTAAGTCTTTGTATCAAGCTCTTCTGGCTGCTGTATGGTTTTTGGAATATTTTGTTCTTGATTCCATGGATTTCAGATACTGTTGCTACAGCTCTGATAAAACATCCATCAGATAGTCCCAGTATTGTCCCGCAAGACAGCTGTGGAAGTTGATAGCATCATGAGTCTTGTATGAAAGCACAGTTCGTTTACCGAAGAAGTATGACGTCACTTTTGGACCCCTTTTAAAGAACTTCTTAGTGTCAACCCCCTGGTCTTCAAAATTCAGTTGCATTAGAGTTGTCCATATAGTATTCTTAGCAATATTAAATTTTCTTCATAGTTTATTAATGCTTTGTGTTGTAATGCATAAAGCAATAAGCAATAAAGTGTACATGTTAAATGTAACTTGCTGGTATACTTTAAATTTTGTGCTGAGTATAAGGAGGTGACATATACAAACATGTTTTGTTTAGTGAATGTATTTGAACCTATATGTACAAAGTGCTATCAATCCACTTGTATTACACCGGTATTCTTAAGTTTAAAAAAGTAAAATGAAGGGTGTCCATTTAGCAAACCTGTAAGTAGATGGCAAAAGACATTTGTTTTCTAATGCAAATGATATCTGTTGATGTGTTTACCTCTTATATTCATTTTATTAACAGTGGTTTATAGAACAAAACAAAATACATTAATTTTGCCAGTTATTTTTAGAAGTCTAACTTAACTTTGCAGGCAAAGCATAAGATGAAATAATTAACCAAACACTAAAACACAAAAAAGGGTGGAGGAGTTTTTCTTCTTAGACATTGTAGTCCTATCACAAATTGTTCTCCGTGTGGCACAAATTACAGCCTTGTTTTACACAAAAAGTGCTGCAGTTTATATATGAAGCATTAAAATGTGATGCTATTTTTACCATGTGTACTGCTGTTCTGCAGCAGTTATAATCAGTTTGTGGTTCTCCATGAACCAGATCTTTGGTATATCACAGTTCTAGTGATTTTATTTTTCAAGGGGATTCACACTGATTCCATCAAGCATATGTTTCCTATTACATTTAATAGGTTTTGTTTGTTGTTTGTTGTAAAGCTATAAGATCTGAAGTAGGAAATTACTTTTTTTTAAACTTTTAGTTTATAATTATTTTTTTTCATCAAATAAAACAGCTACAGGTGAATCATAATGGTTAACTACAGTACATGTAACCGTTTCCCCTATTCTCTAATTACTATTACTATAACTTGTAACAATCACCCTTCCCTAATACAAAAATTGAAAATCTATGAGGGTGCAGCCACAGTCTTAAATCCACTTGTGGTAAGAACAGCAACCTTGTTCTTTTCAGTATTCAATTTCCCATAGCAGTGACTCATCACTGAGCAATATTTCACTCTATTTACTTGGTCTGTCTGTTGTTTAAAAGAAAAAGAAAATCAATTTGGTGACATTTGCGTAGACCTCAATGCTGTTTTTAAATGTACGCACAGGTTTATTTTTCTGTCTAGTTTAAAAAGAGATTTTGTCCTTTTGTTTTTTTATCACCTTGTTTACACCTTACAAGTTGACTGACAAGTTGACAGTTTCCTGTATGGTAGAAGAATGGAACAGTATGTGAACTTAATTTTTATAAGTCTACTGCATGTAGTGTACAGCCTAATTTAAAAAGTATTTGGAATAAAATGGCTGGATCTGAATGCATAGGTAAATGCCTTATAAATGCAGCAATTAGTATTTCAATGAGAACAGGAAGGCAACTTCTATATCACAGCATTACTCAAATGCTATGGTACGCCTGTTAGATAGCTTAGTCTTTTTTTCATGAACACAGTAATTCACTCACAGGAACACTGAGAAAATTAAACCACAAGCTATTATACTGGTGAAGATAAATGGCAAAAACTGAGGCAGCAATATAAATGCTGACCTGGGTGGTAAGCTATTTTAAACCACATGTTCTTAGAGGTTCAGAAAGTACAACAGCATGATATTGAATGACTTATTACAATTTGTTGTTTGCAACTGTCTTGTTCGTTTTTAGTGTCCAACATCTACTATTGAAACTGCTTTATCTCCTTCAAAGGATAATGCACTTTCAAAACAATACTGTTGAGTGGTAGCATCACCACTCTTTACATTAAAAATTATATTATTACATGTACATTAAACTGAGCGTAGAAAACAGATAAAATCTTAATTGAAATTGATATTAATATGTGAAGTATCAGAAATAAGAGCAGACATTTGTCCCAACATGTTTATTTTGGTCTATCACTCTTATTTTCACGCATCCAGTACTTGCTTTTTCCACCAAAAAATTAATTGGTTACACTTGCTAAACTACTCACAAATTAGTCAATTTGGAATAACCAACCCATGTCTTTGGAAGGTGGGATAAACTACAGTTCCTAGTGCAAACATGACTTGAATACACAAATTCCACACAGACAGGTACTAGAAGCCAGAATATAACTTCAGACAGTTGCGAGGCAGTAGTGATAACTACAGAAAAGCACACCACTATGCTTTGAAACTATATTTGCATACAATTACTTTTAATAACCAATTTGTTCAAATATATTTTTGTTGGAATTAAAATAATTGCTGTTAAGAACATTCATTTTGTTGTTGTATTAATACATTACATACTTTAATACTTTACAGTATTAAAGTCTAATACAGTTTAAGGCTGGTCATACGGGGCTCTTAAGAAGCCTCTTAGTTTTATTTGAATCTTTTTAAGCTGAATAAAATATTGCGAAGTTTCCATTTGAATGTCTATTGCGACTCCACTTTCAAGTGCAAAAGAGTCTTCTATGATGCTGGTAGTTGATACTCTCGGTTACTCTGGGTAATCCTCAGCATTATGCCTCTCTTTCATTAAGCTTTCAAGCCATGGGTTTTTCTAGACCTGGGGTTCCCAATTGCTGGTCCTGGGCTTTCATATCATTCATGTTAAGAACTAGGAGGGGCTGTAAAATGGACAAATTAATTATATCATCAGATAATTAAGGCTGTTAAGTGCACATCTGAACTGAAAGCATTTAGGACACACCAGACCTCCAGGACCAGGAATGAGGACCCCTGTTCTAGACCAAAATAAAATGCTGAGTTGCTCTGGACGTTCTATTTAGTTTTAATAAATGGAGAATGAATAATTTAATGCATTCAGTGATTGCATCTGATGGTTTTATAAGTAATCCATTAAATTTCTAAGAAGTTGAAAACCAGGTGATGTATTAGCACTCAAGTCTTTTTCTTCTTTGTAGTTACATTTTAAAGGTGCAGTATTATTGATCAGAAGGTATTGTGATTCAATACATAACACATTATACAAGCTCAGGAGCAGAATACAGTATGTCTTGAGAAAGTAGATTTAAACAGTACATATGTCAAGACTAGTCTCATATCTGACACAGATTCTTACAGGACTTGTTGCATTTGATTTCAGGGGGAGATGAGAAGAACATTTTATGGATTGCTATGGCTGGTACTCATCAGATCTGGGCACTGTTCCTAGAAGATGGCAAACTTCCAAAAGGAAGGTGAGCTGCTAGTCAAATTGTTCAATTTTAAATTGAAATTAATATAGTAGGCTTTCAGTCTGTTAAGGGTAGTGATATACAAAAAAATCACATAGTCCAGAATGTTTCATACCACAAAGATTTGTATTGAAATTGCTCTTTTAATTTTCCATGCTGAGTTTAGGATAATTTTTCAGTCTTCTTCATTATGTTTAACCCCCACCAAAAAAAAGGTAAGATAAAAAAGCAACATCTAAAATGAAAATCTAATTGCTTTCTAGTGAGTACAAGAAGGGGACCTGCGTCCGTTTTGCTGGAAGTGGAAATGAGGAGAACAGGAATAACGCCTATCCTAACAAAGCAGGGTTCGCTCAGCCTTCTGGTCTGGCTCCTGCCCCTGAGGAACCTTGGAATTGTATTTTCATTGCGGACAGCGAGAGCAGTACTATACGGGCCATCTCACTGAAGGATGGAGCTGTGAAGCATCTGGTGGGAGGAGAGAGGGACCCTTTGGTAATGCAAACCTGCCATTCTGCATTGAGTACCGTCTCCACACACCAGGGGCTAAAGATCTGTTAGATCACACTTAAGCTGATAAAGGATGGGTGTAGGTGCATGTTTTGGGCCTCTGTTTCCTTCTAGAGAAAGATCAATTTTGATCTTAATCTGTGCAGAATGTTAGAAATCTTTGACTGTTCAATGAAAATTCCACGCTTATTGGAAGAGACATGGTTATGATATATACAATTAAAAATGCCAGCATTTCTCTGTGGAAGATTTTAATAAAGTAGTATGAAAATCAGATATACAGTTGTATACTTATTATATCATGCTTATTTATGTTTGTTTAGGAAGTGCCTCAGCTAAGCTATCTAAATCATAGTTGCATCCAATTTGAATGTTAAACCTCTCAAGCTACAGTATGTTAAGATGACTTAAGTACAGTGTGATTATTTAATTTTCTAACATCTAGTCCCTCCAAATATGGAAGACAAAATTGAAAATAGGAGCAGTTGAAAAGGTAGAATTACATATACAGTGGAGTGAAAAAGTGTTTGCCCCCTTCCTGATTTCTTATATTTTTGCATGTTTGTCACACTGAAATGTTTCAGATCATCAAACAAATTTTAATATTAGACAAAGATAACACAAGATTTTTTTTTCTCTTGATAATAAAAACCTTCATTTAAAAACTGCATTTTGTGTTTACTTGTGTTATCTTTGTCTAATATTTCAATTTGTTTGATGATCTGAAACATTTCAGTGTGACAAACATGCAAAAATATAAGAAATCAGGAAGGGGGCAAACACTTTTTCACACCACTGTATTGGTTTCCAAACAAAGGTAATGCATAAAAATAATCACAATCAAGAATGAATCTTTTTGTTCCTTTATCTGAAATGTATTTATTGCCTGATGACACATAGCTATGCTGCAGTGTTTATGTACTCACAGCTGTTCTGAAGGCTTTTTTCAAACCTTGTACGCAAGTACTCCGTGGAAATCTTTTTGCTTCTTTAGCTCCTGATTAAAATTGCTGTGTGGATCAGATTGCTCTGAACTCTGATTGCCTTTTTAAAACATGTGACACAGGCGCTAGACAGTTAATGGTGGTTATGCTTCACCTGAATTTATTGCCTGCTTATTTTTTTAACTGTGTTAAGACTATTTCAACTGTTTATATTTTTAAACAAATCAAGATGACAAAAAAACATTGAAAGCCAATTTCATGTTCAGAACCCTCTCCTTTGAAAGGCCTTGTGGAACGCAAATATCTGATTTGAAAGATTGTTTTCCTCTTAATTAACAATTTTGAAGCACGTCTGCAGTGCCCTACTCAACTTTAATTTGTATCCAACTTGAAGCAGGTTTTGTTCCTCATAATTATATAGTTGATTTCTATATAAGGTCATTCAAAATAACATTTTAGACTAACAGTTCACAGTAATGGACCATTTTCCTTTCGCATAATTTTGTACTACACTGATTAAGAACTTGCACACATTTTCTTCAACCTTACATTTGCTTACATTTACTTTTTTGTTTGTTTGAAGACTTCATATAATAGAATGACTCTGATCATGGTATGATTATATGCTGTTCTACACAAGCCATTTGTTCCAGGCTTAAAGTAGCCCCACATGAGAACGCATGCATCCTTTACAGATTCAGTTAACCATCCACTTTCCCAAAGAATTGTTTGTGATGTTTTATAATGTAATTATGTAAAATTCTTAGAATGAATACATTTGATATTTCAAATGAAAATGATGATAATGAAAATTGATTGGTTGCTTGGTTATTTGTTTCTACTTAAACAGAACTTGTTTGCTTTTGGAGATGCGGATGGCACAGGAATAAATGCTAAACTACAGCACCCACTTGGCGTGGCCTGGAACACACAGAAAGGAGTTCTTTATGTAGCCGACTCCTACAACCACAAGGTGATTGTACAGTTGCTTCATTTTAAACAGAGGTTGTACTGTATGTGTCTAGATTAAATGAACAACCAGTTAATTGTATTCTTAGCTATATATTTGACACATTTGAAACTGCAATTTTTAACCAAATTTTTCAGCTGTTTTATACCAGTAAATAAGGGCTATAGTACATGCACGACATCTTCTACTTCTTTTTCTGTTTATGTCCCAACAGATGAGGCTGAAGAAATGTCAGATATGGTTACACTAGAGACTTACAGCCCCAGTTTTGGTGATCACTTTTGCACAATAAGATGAGAAAACTGGATGGTGGCAACCCAGTCCTTTTTCTAGATGAAACAGGACTGTGGCTGCCTACAGTGTAGACTAGGGATATCAAACTCTGATCCTGGACAGTCGGCACAAAACCGGTTAATGCTAGTGAACGTTTGTCACCTGTTTCTAAACATTGGAAAGGTCTGTGTGATATTGATTAATTAAGTATATAGTCAGCAGTTGTATCACCCTGCAATTCACAACTGGCAATTCTGAATGGAGTGTTCAGACAGCCATATTATTAGTAGTAGTAATTGATCTGCTCAATAAACCATAGAAACTGAAGGGTACTCAGAATTTAGTCCCACATTATCTGTAAATTACCTTGGTTAAAAATTTGTCTTTTACTTGGTCACAGTGTAAGAGTTCTTTGTATTTAGAGATTAGCAATTTAGTGATGGCTTATAAAACCTGCTGATATGGTGCTCTCCAGTACCTGTTAGAGAGACCTGTGGCTTAAACTTAATATATGTAATATAATAGTATTTTTGTACTTTAGAGCCCAATCCAGGGTTTTTACCCATGCTTATAGAAGCCTCCACTATTCATTTTTGTGTATTTTGTTTACTGTAAAGGGAATTCTTCTAATGCTATGATACTATAATATATGCTGACGTATTATAGTATATGATTTAATCTGTGTATTTCAGAATTAATTAAATCAGACCATGTTATGCATCGTTATACTATATGGATGGTAAATTTATCATCTGAGCAATTTGTGTTACTCCATTTCATTCCTTTGCAGATTAAAGTTGTCGACCCTAAAACAAAGCAGTGTGTCACTCTGGCTGGCACAGGCGAAGCAAGTAACAGCCTTGGTCCGAACTTCTCTCAGTCTACATTTAATGAGCCAGGGGGTCTTCACGTGGGAGAGAATGGAAGAGTCCTTTATGTAGCAGACAGTAATAACCACCAAATAAAGATCCTGGATTTGGAGACCCAAATTGTATCAGTGGTAAGGGAGTTTTTTTAAATGTTGAAAAAACTGACCATCTTTACTTCAGGGAATTCTAAGCCATGCTCTTGATATTATCCTTTGTGCATTTATTTTTCAATGCCTTTGAGCAGTGTTCTGTAAGGGCAGGCAATAAATCATTTAACGTGACCTTTATTTTTACATCAAATACACTTTGGAACCATAGATTTTATATAATGCTTTCATTTTTTATCTTTTGTCATGTTGATTGTTGTTTTATTACTGTGGATGTGGATGTTTTGCATACATTTGAAGAAAGATGTGTTTCTTTTTAAAGAAGGGGGATTGTGGGAGTTTGAGGCTGTGCCAAGGATCATGACATTTCAAGGTTTACACAGACTGCTTTATAGCGGATCAAAGACTGTTTTTTCATGTAACCATACCAACTATTCTCTTTGTTTTTTTTTGGTAGCTGCCTATTTTAGTTGATGATGTAGTGGATGCTCCAGTTAACAAATCTACAGCTCATGGAAAGATACCAAAGCTACCCAAATCCACCCCACAGATTGAGATGTCTCCTATTGTGGTTACTCCTGGCCAGAACATTGAGATTGAATTATCTCTGACACTCCCATCTGGAACAAAACTCACCAAGGAAGCACCCAGTTTGTGGACACTGTCAGCAGAAGGTACTCAGAATTCTCCAATTTATTTAAATAATTTAGTTTACTATATTCCAGTTCCACCCATATATTCATTTCCCTCTCAATTATTATTTGAAATTCAATACTGCATTTAATCTATGAAACCTTATCATTTTGAATTAAAAGATAAAAAAACACTTAAACCAGGTGTCATTGTTCTTGCCATTTTTATCCATTGATAATTTACATTTATTCCAGCATATCATGAAATACAGAAACAAACCATAGATGGCATTTTGAAATATGTTGTGCGGTGCCTTAAAAAAAGTATCAAATTATGCATACAGCCATGAACATCATAGTTACTTAGCAGTTCTGCTAAAACTTATCACCATAAGTTCTTCACATTTTGCATCATGTAGGCCTGAGAATTTTGCCTTTATCACTGTAAAGAGTTGTAATACAGTTACAGTGAAGGCAGGTATGACTATATTATAACAGGTGGTTAGTTGAGCTAAATGGGTGAAAAGAAAATATATCACATTCAAGTAAGCTAGAGAATTGGGTTTTTGTGGCAGGGGGGAGATGGGCTCTGTCTGATATTTTGGAAGAGTTAACTGTGGTATGGATTAACTACTGTAGACTTAATCATGGCATTTGGTCATGTAAGAAAAGAGTTTGATGCTTGTCTTTGGCATAAGGGATGTGTTACACTACATCAGTATGTCTTGGCACCAAGAGTAGATCAGCTGTTCCCTCATGTTGTGCACTTTTATTTGTTATGCACCAGTTTAAAGTGAGGATCCACACTTTAAGCCATCTTGACATATTCTTATCTCATAATATTTTACATAGTGCTTCCAGGGATGTAAGGTTACCAATCTTGTTGTGATGGGTTTCAATGATGGCAAACCATGGCCACAAAATATAGGCTGCAATTATCCATGTCCTGCCTGTAATGTTTGCACTGGTGGACTTGTGCCAGTCTGGAGTGGTGTATAGTGTCTTGACCTGTTAACTGAAAGGTTATAATTTCAAATCCCAAAAGGACAACCTGCTCCAGGGCATCATTAACAATCAGCCACAGATTATAAATGAAACAGGGCTGGGCTCAGGTGGAATCCAGTTTGCTATAGCTACAGCCTCATCTCTTTATCTTAGTCACCATCATGGACATCCATTGGCAGGAACATGATGGATGCCTACATGCTGACAACATTGTGAGCCACTATTAGCTTAAAAACGCTAGCAGTATATTGCAGAGCACAGTTTCCTCATACGTTATGTCCCCCCAAGGATGATGAGGTGACGGCAACTTCTTTGTGAAATCAACACAAAGAAACACAAAGAAAACCACATGTGGTATACATAACACATTGAACAACAAATCTGGTAAAATAAGTACTTACTACAAGCTGAAACGTAATCACCATTAAAGCATTTAATCACCAAACTACAATTGAATTGAGTGAATTGGATTCAAGATTATATGGCTACTTCTCTGTATTTAAATGTGAGAGATAAAGGTTAAAATGATCATGCTAAATCAGTGAGACCTGTTGTAAGCAAGTCTTAAAAGTAGGTATCTTAAGGTAATCTATCTATCTATTGAAATAGAACTCTTACTTGACAAGTTGATACACTACCAATTTATTTTAACAACTATGCTTCATCACATAAGTACAGAGCCCTCAAGGGCACATGGTGTAATTTTTTTTTTGCAAACAATGTGGTGCATGGGCACATGGTGTTATTGTTTTTGCAAACAATGTGGTGCATACCTGACACTATCGTGTGTGCACTCTCGTTTCTGGTTTACGGAACATACTGCCTAACTGAACATCTTTCTTCACATGCAAATGATTTTCTTGACATTTTGCGTGCATCCATCGGTAGCCATGAAGCTGACCTGAACTTTGCGATTGGCACTGAATGAATGCAATAATTTCGTCTATGTTGCTGTAGCCCTTATGATGAAATAGGCCCTTCAAAATACATTTTAAATGCATTTTGGTGATAATGTATCCATGACTACTGGCAAGAACAAACGTTATGTCTTTGTGTTTGAGACCCAATGGTTTCCCCCCAAAAAAATTACACCATGTCCCCTTAAGGGCTCCATACATAAGTACAAATTGTTCACAGAAAATTTTCATTATTTTTTATTTGTGTGATACAATTCACTGCTAATGCATAACTAAACACTGGAATGGAAGCATGAAAGTTCAACTATGAAATTTTAACTGTAGTAAATATGGACTGTCATATCACATAGATTAAAGCTCAAAATCAGTATGACTTATGAAATTGGAAGTAGCTTTTGTTAAACCAGACAGATGTTCCACCATGTTTATTTGTAGCATACTGGTTTCCCAATTTGGTACTTGCACTTGGCTCAAAGTGACCAAAACAGAGGTCTGCCTTTGCTATCCTATACACAGCTATATCACCCAGCAAATCAGGATTGGCCACCCACCAAAGCTAAGCAGCTGTAACTGTGGTCAGTACCTGGATGAGAGACCTCCTGGGAAAAGCTAAGGTTACTGCTGGAAGAGGTGTTAGTGGGACCAGCAGGGGGCGATCACCTGCGATCCATGTGGGTGATACTTGTGATGAGCGTATTGGCACGATATGGATCCCATCACACCACCTAGGGGTTGCTCCACATTGGTGATGGTGAAGGGGATTTGAGTGGAGCACTTGGTGAAGCACTTTGAGTGGAGTGTCCACAAGAAAGCTATATATATGTAAAGAATTCTTATTAGTTAGCGTCACAATGTAAAGGAAATATTTATATCATAGGTTTGTGACTAAGTTTGTGGTTATGAACAAGCATACAATGTTGAGCCCATTCCTCAATTCCTCATCCATGGTCAATCACAAAAACAAGGTGCAAAACCCAAGTAATAATTTGCAAAATTTGAAAAGGGTTGTAGCATAGGTTAATGCACACTGTTCTTTTATTGTGGAAGGCTGGCTACACTTCCTACACTGGCTTCAAGCTGAAATACAAAGCATGTGAACTTCAGAAAGTAATCTAGATTAATTATCTATGAGCTTACACTTTTTGCTTCTTAGTATCAAAGAGATGAAGGTTTGATCCCTGCCAGGCCCTGTCCACCATCCTTGCCTGGTCAGCATGTTGAACCATAGTTAACCATAGGTGTGGTGCGGTGGCTCTGTGGCTAAAGATCTGCGCCGGAGGCTGGAAGGATGCCGGTTCGTATCCTGCGGCCAGCAGAGGAATCCTACTTCGTTGGGCCCCTGAGCAAGGCCCTTAACCCCAACTGCTCCAGGGGTGCTGTATAAATGGCTGGCCCTGCACTCTGACCCCAAGCTTCTCTCCCCATCTCTCTGCCTGTGTGCCTCTCGGAGAGCAAGTTGGAGTATACAAAAAGACAAATTCATGAAAAGTCCTAATACATGAAATTGTATATAGCCAATAAAGTGATCTTATCTTATCTAACTTCCTTTATCTTGAAGTGGCATTGAATATTTGGTTTGGATAGCTTATTATTTATTATCTATAAAAACCACTTATCTTACAACATGTAAGATAAGGCCTGTACTGGAGGTTCTTAACCAACTAAGGGCAAGGAGCATCTGTCCATGACCACAAGCACCACAAGCCTACAAGTGTCTGGGAAGTCACAGGGTTAACTTTATTAGTACACCAGAGGTTTCTGATGTTTTTTAGATATTATGAAAATGGTAGCAGTCTTAAATTGCGAGCAAGAAAATGAAAATGCTCTTTAAGTTACTTAGTGGCACGATTTGGAGTTTCCTGTCTTGCAGGCGTTGTCGTACATATGCAATTCAGCCTCTGCTGAATTTAGCTTACATGCTTTTAATTGCAAAAATAATTGCCCTCATTGTAGCTTGAATGTTAAGATCAATTAATGGACTGTAACACTAGATACCTGCTCGTGTGCTGTCAAGCCTGTCTACCTGATTCAGAAGCTCCAGAAATATTGTTCTTAACCTCAGTGGTCTAAAGACAAGATGTCAGAGTAATTACATTGAGGACTTGGATCTTTGTGACTGTATTTGGTTGCCTTGTTACTTTAACAGACCTGCAACTTGAATTAATGACGGCTGCAAAACAAACTAGTAATATTTCAGACAATGATCAAATATTGTAATGGAAAAAATAAATTGTATTGTGAAATAAGTACCGAGAAATGTTAGCAGTAATGTCAGTGGTGTCCCAGGCAGGAATTTAAATTAAGTTTGCTTTTTTAGTGTCGGAAATGTTTTACAGGCATGGTTGAACAAGAAAAATTGGCATGACTGAGTATAACTGCCACTGAGAGATAATTCCTCAGAGGCATCTAACAGTCCTCTCTATTCTGTATGACTTTGCTTTTCTTATTGGCTTACAGAACACATTGTACGTGAATACCAGAATACTGGGTCCCTTGTTGAATTAACCTGTGGTGACTGCCCTTCTTTGCTATATAGTTTGTTCAGCAAATGCTGTCATAAATGTAAACCTGTAGATTTAATTTTTTTTTTTAATATATAAATTTTAAGTTGCATCATTATTATACGTAATGATAATACTGTTATATAGTATAAGTATTACTGTGTTTTTCCGGCAAAACAAGAAAAATTAAGTTAAAAAGATAATCCATCTTTAAAATGCTTTTTTAAAGGTTGTGATGTTAAAATTGTAGAGAGGTTTTTTGATGCATCTTGAGGGCTTTTTCCAGCCCACTGAAAAGAGAGCAGCCACGACCCTCATCAGGACAAGCAGGCTGAAAGTGGATGGATGGAAATGAGAATTTCTGTAGGCAACATCGGCAGTTTCTTATTTTAAACACACCAGCACATTATCACAGACATAATGCTTCGAATACAGTTTTCATTAACCATGAGGGACCTTATACACACTAGAACAGAGAGGAAAAAAACTGCTCAGCTCATTTTAACAAATAATGAGCAGCAATGCATTTTGACTGGGTGGTCTGCTACACAAAGTTTAAAATTACAGTCTGGCAAAAATCCCTTGAAATGGTAAATCGATTAGCTCTGAAACAGTTTGGATTTTGGAGGCGTTTTTGAGGTTGCTTGTTTTAGCATAATTTTATTCATGTATAGGAATATTTGTATATATTGTGAGGCACAATTAGATTTACATGGCCAATTCAGGGAAAGCTCACTAAGGATTAGGGCAAAGTAGAAAGTCCCCACAAACAGGAACTGTTCATTCTTTTAATAAAATTTAATGTTGTTAAGGTGTAAAGAAAACAGAACCTGTTAAAATGAAATACCTATCTAACCTACTTAATGATATGGGAAAGGGATTTTCTTCTGCAGAGGTTACTATACATAGTCATTGGTGCCTTTGGTAAGCGAATACAGGAAATTCATTTATAGAATTATTAAAAGCTTTGTAATTGAATAAATCCAAAAGATCCACTTTTAAATAAAGAAAAAAGAAAGTGTTCATTTTAGTATTGTGGTTGTACAAACTGTACATGGCAAGTTTCTACCTACGAAAAACAGTGTCACATTTAATATTTATGCTCAAGGTTAAAGTTGTAATTTTTTATTTTCCAAACAGCGTAAATTTGTCATGCTTGGGGAATTCGATATTTTTTTTACTTTTACCTGTGTATTTCTTTACCTTGAAATGATCAGTCTTTAATATCATTAAAGTTCTGTGTAACTTTAAATGCTGAATTACTCATTTATTGTAATTAAGTGCTGGTTATGGGATATGCTATAAAGGGTTGGAAAATCTTTAAACAGAGTTTGTACATGTGCTAGCATTTTTGTTGTTTTTATGAGGAGGAAAGTGGGACTACGCATGTGATGGCATTTTAAAAATGTGTTTGCTTTTTGTCTAGGCAATGATTGGCTCCTTCAAGACCAGCGCTCAAGCGGAGACATAGTGGACCTTTCACAGCCTCTAGCAATATCAGCGACTGTCCCATCCAGCATACCAATACCTAACCCTGTCCTGCTAGTTGGTGTATGTCTCTATTACTGCAGCTTAAATGACAACACTTGTATGATGAAGGCTGTCTCATTCAGGCAACCTTTGCAAATGGATAACAAAAAGGAAGGTAACACAGCACAAATAGTGCTCTGTTATGCCTTTAATTAATGGTTCTGCTCTCAAACAAGGTTTTCTCAGGTACAACCATTTACCGTTTTTGCTGTTGTTAAATGTTACCAAGAGAAGAGTGGCTTGTCTTTGAGCATTACGATTACCAATAAACGGATTTTCTAGGATGTAACATGGTATGAACATAAACTTCCTACTCCCTGCAATGGTAAGCCATTTTGTTAGAGATTTAGCTCAGAGTGATGCAGTCCTATTTAAAGGTCTGTGTCTCTTCTGTGGGACATAGACTAAAAAGTACACTTGAGTACTCACAGAGATTTATTCAGATTTGTTATATATCTTACTGGTTCATCTCATAATTATGGAGAGTTTATGAAAATCATTGCACCATAGCATGCCGTCTCTAGTGAGACCCGGAAACCAGATAGCTTTGAATTAACTTCTGATAGGAAAAGAAGCTTCATAATTGCAAAGCTTGAGGAGTGATGCACACATATTTTGCAATTGAAGAGTTCAAACAGGAAACACTTAAATATTTGATTAAAAATAAAATTAAGTTTTCAAAACTTGTTTTACTCCTTCATCACCCCTTGTTTTTTTTTTTCTGTGTGAACTGTCTCAGAGGATCTTGTTAAGCAGTGTAAGACCAGTGTGTTCCCCATCACAGCAGGATAAATGAAGGTAATCAAAGGGAAGCGAATCTTTGAAAATTACAGTGAAATTAAATTTTGTTCTGCCTGTATTACCAGCAGTAGACATGCTGTAGTAAAACCTGACCTGATATTTGAGCCTTTAAGTTATCTTTTTGCAGAGCTATTCTGGGGAACACTGCAAAGGGAAAGACAGACCCACGTTGCTGTATCACACAAGTTTACTTACCTGTTGTCTTTCAAAACATCTGTTGCTTTCAGTTACCGTGTTAGTAGACCTAAGATAGATGCTTTGTATTATATTTTTGATTTTTGGCTTTACATTTGTGAGAGGTGAGAGGTGCATGTAAACATCACATTAGCAACTGAATTATTTTCATTCTTGATTTTTATTTAGACTCTTTAATTTGTTTAGAATATGGGCATATGTATTAACTTGTACATGTATTTAACAATTTAATATCAAGTTTGAAACCAAACAGTTTACAATGATTCAGAATTACATTTTACAACATTTTTTTCATTTTTTGGAATGTTCACATGGGTATCAGCATAATACTGTGTTTATGTAGTGCACAGTAAATAAAATGTCCATCTTTTCAGTTGTTTTATAGAGGTGACATTTATAACCTGGATTAATTTTTATTATATGTATATTTATATGTTAGTGCATTTCAAAATATGAGACCAAGCTCAGGTTCTACAAAACAAATAGCAATAAGCTTTTTTTTTTTTTTACAAAAGTTCACTTCAGTATCAGGTAATACCAGTGCTGTTATTATGTATCAGGTAATACCAGTGCTGTTATTATTCCAAATTACTTGTATCTGAATTAAACAAGAATTTGGTTTGTATGTGTATAACTTTAAGGTAAATATATTTGCCATTATAATAAAAGTTCATCAATAGTAAAATGAAGATACAAACAGCTTATGTGAATTTAAAGCAAAAGTTCCTGTGCTTTGTCTTGCCTTTTGCACATATTAAGTGTAAACTGTGTTTCTTACAGGTACCCAAGGCTACAGTACATTGTTATTCACTGGTGCACTAATGCTGATGTATACCAGAGCACTTATAGTTGCACTTTCTTCTCAAAAAATATTTTTCTAACATTATAATGATGTTATAATATATATATAATATAATATGTTTCTTACCTTACAAACCTTTTATTTATTAAATAAAAAATAAAATATTTTTGTCATTGTTTTAATATTTTGAGCTTTTTGATGTGACCAATCATTTAAATTTGTGTGCCAATGAAGCTTTTTTAGAGAAACAAGAGAATCAGTATTGAAATGAGACTCCAGGAACATGTGGTATATAATTGCAAGTGAATACATTAATCCCTCGCTATATAAGCAACCTCAATTCAAGATGTAGTCATTCCTTTCTTTTTCATTTAACAAGCATATTCTGGCTCTGAGCTGAGCTGAGTCTGAGTCTGAGCTGGACTCTTTTGTTCTTGCATCTTCTTGGATGAGTAATTTACCTTTTATTTTTTATTACATCTTAACTTTTATTATATTAAAGGCTTGGGTGTGTTGAGTACGTATATTACAGGAAAGACACATTTTTATGTTCATGCATTTGTTAATGACTATAACAATGTAACTGCTATACTGTACATGAGCAGGAGTATTATTGTTTTCCTACCTATCATTTATGCATTAGCTAAGGACTTTAAGCACGTTACTCGAATAATTAACCAGGAGTGTTACTGTTTTCATTCTTATGTACCATTCTTTGCTGCATTAAAGTAAGGGAGGTTTGGGTACATTTTTAAGTTCTGAAACTAATCAGAGCTTCTGTTCTTTTACACAGGTTTTTACCTTACAAGCAGATTTTAAGAAACGCATTAAGCTCATATAGTAAGGGATTATTGTATAGAAAAGATTGTTGCAGAATTTAAAATATAAAAACTTTTGTAAAGAAAGATATTCATTTCAGTTAATCAGGTGTTTTAGTTAGTGGCATCCTCAAATGCAGTTTTCTTATACAATCCATCCAAGAAGTATTTTGTTGAAAAACTTTATAATTCTGATAAATGAATACGAAATATGACGAATGAATAAAAATAGGATTTAGCTATAGCACCTCAGCAGATCTCAGAAGCAACACTGGTACTGAATGGTGTTTGGATGAGAGCCATCAGGAGGTAAATTACAGTAGGTTGCCACTGGATGTAGTGTTTGTTGGTGTTCTTCAACCCTCTGGAGCAAAAAAAAAATCAATTTATAGTGGTGTTGCAGAGAAAGAGACACCACACTTTAGGCAGAGCAACAAAATGATCTGTCACATCCACTTAAAAATGATACTTAAAATATAACCAACAAATTGTCATATTAGTTCTGAAAGTTATCAATTAGATAACCTAGGCTTGCAGAATTGTGCTGCAATCACCTCTTATCATTTCACACACATCTGATGATATGGCCTGAAGTTATGAAGGACTCTGCTGCATTCTCATTGACTGCATAAGCATAAATTAATTGAGTAATGGTTCAAGCTCTGTACAAATGGCAGTCGGAAGCTCTCGGCAAATATGCAATTTTTAATACAAAATGTGAGGGCATATAAAGCAATGGGGGTGAGCTTAGAGACGTCTCTGGCATACGTATTTGGGTAGGACACAATATGTGGAAAGGCAGCTCTGGTTCAACAGTGAAGGTATCAAGCTAACCGTACCTAGCACTTTCAGCCCAAGAAGAAAAACAAGGTATTACCTGGTTACATGATCTCTGTATTTTGACAAATAAGACTGGAAATCCTGCTGACCTCGCTATCTTTACTCAGTTGTACTGGGTTTTCATCAGCTTTTTAAATTAATTGCCATCCCAACCACATTATTTAAAGCATCATATCTTCAGTTTCATTGGCTATTCCACTTAAGTTTTTATTCTCCATGTGCGCATTGCAGATTTAAATAGTTCAGAAAGGTATCTTGTTCCTCTAAAGGAATTATTGGTGCTTCTTCCATGGCTTTAAAAAACTCTTACTGGAACACTTTGGACAGAAGTGCCAGTTTTATAACTAATTAACTGTGGTTTTCTCTCTTGGCTAGTGAAAGCATTATTCGCCAGTTCTTAGTCATGCATTATGTCCCAGCTACGTTCCCATGACAGAATTAACCATACAAGTGGGATGTTCATTTCTCCAAGAGTATTTAAATATGTTGCAGTGCCCTCAAAACAGCTTGGTACTGTTCCATTTTGCTGACACTCCACACAAATACTGTGCATGTTGTATTTCTTCATTGCAGTGGTATGCCTAAAACAAAGCCTGAGCTCACACCAGGGACGTAGGATGGGAACGGGCAACTTTGCCAATTTCTGGCACTTGCTTTCCATTCCACTTCTTTGTTCCAGAATATCCATGGTTGTTTGAGTGATCCTAGGCAATAGGTTTAATTAAGTAATTACAGGGCAATTACTGAAAAAGTACTGTTTGGACCCGTCATGCAATAGTATAGAAAGAAAGTGCCACTTGTATTCCACTACCACTACTACTACTAACATAGGATACATGATACCCCCTTACATGAAATTTGATTGCAGGATTTCTCACTTCTGCTCATAATTGAAATGGCAGCCCCTGCACTTTCTGCTTTTTGATCCTGAGGGTGTGATACACAATCCCATCAATCCCACAGTTCCCAAATCCAGGTCACACTGATTCTTTGGCCTAATTGCTTAAATTTTAGACACCTGTTTATTGCAAGTATACCTGCAACAGATGGACTGTGAAACTGCTGGACCCTGGTTAAATCAAAATGTTCTACACTCCTGCCCTCCAGCAATCACAGATTGAAAACCCCTGTCTTGATGGTTTTCGTTTGGTTTGCAGCAGTTTTTGCCCAGTGGAAACCCAAGGTATTGTGCTAGTAACTTGCAACTGGTGGGTGAGTCGAATTTTTGATTTACTCAAGATGCAGAGTGAATGTTAATTTCAAGTCTAATGCTGTAAGAGGTGAAAATAGTTACAAAGTCTAATGAAGCCAGTAGTTTGCAATGAAAATGTGAAGTGAGTAGATCTATGGAGGGCTGCAACTCAAGGCCCTGTGTTTTTCATTCCAGCTGGCTATTTAATTGTAGTGAGTATTTGCTTTCACTGGTTCACGTTCATTTTTAACAGGTCTCTGCTCATTGTTAAAATCTTATATGTAAAGTGTGGAACTATAGGGCCATGGGCTGCTTATGAAAACCACTGCTATTTAGTGTATTTAAGTGTTATTGTACTTAAGTATTGAACCAGGGAATGACTGTTTAAGTGATTTTGAAATGATTAGCTGCTTTGTGCAAAGGCCTTAAATTGAAGAAATGGGAATACTAACACAGCAGGGTTGCACAGAATATACAAAAGTGAACAATGTTTTTAAGTTTTTTTTTTCCTCAACTGGTGTATTGTTTTACTCTCTGTGTGACTCTGTAACACCCTTAAACTCAAATCATGGCTAAGGGGAAAACCAAGCCAAACCTGCATTTTCTTAAGGTTTAGTGACTAGCCATAGTTTAACAGACTACTGCCCTAGATGACTAGTTTCTTTAAAAAATCTTGTCTGATTAGATATCCTGAAATCTTACATGACAAAATAAAATTAACTCCAGAACCCCTGAACACATTTAATGCAAAAAAAAAAAAGATATTCACTTGCCTGAAATTCTGTGCCATTTTAAATTAAGGTACAGCAAGTGTTCAGGGGTGTGTGAAGAACTGGTGTTCAGTTCAATCAGCTTTAAATGATTAATTCCTGCATTTGTTTTCAGGAAAACAAGTGTGGATGTCAGAGTTCACGACTCTTCTGCTTTTGAAAATCAAAATGTAAATGCTGGCCTGACTGTTTATTTTAATCCTCTGTTATGGTAAGTAATACGTTTATGCAGACAAATTACTGTTTTTCATTCTCTCGTCCGAGTGCAATTTTTGTTCGTGATTAGGATGAATATGTACACACATTTAAACAACACATGTTGTGAAGACCAGTTTCCTTTTCAAGACACTTAACCAAGGAGCCTCTGCTGACAAATTGCCCAGGAACAAGGTAATTGCCTAAATTATTTGTCGGGTTAGAATAAGTATGAGATACCAGTTTCCTCTGTCCATGTATTATAAATGTATTTATTTTGAGTCCAATCTTTAAAAAAAAACTGGAAGCAGTCTCCCAGATTCATTTAATTTTAATTTTAAAGCAAAGAAAGTTCAGGTTACACAGATGGACAGAATGACCTCGTGTTGGACAGAGTTTGCTTTCCCTTTGTGTTCAGAAAGCATCTCTCCAGTGCTGGCAGTCCTAAATACTGATTATATGATTGTTTTTGTTTACATTCAAATAACATTGTTAACTTAAAATGAAACATTTTAAAGTTCCATGATAAATAGAATTTGTTTTTGTTTTACATTCCTCAGGAACAGCTGCACAATTTAATTGTTGTAGCTCTTTTTGCCTCCTTTTTAATTTTTTTTTAATTTAAAATGTTCTGGTTTATTCATACAATCTGTGATTCACTTGACTTAGGATCTGTTTTTTATCTCTTCAGAATGTCTTTACGTCTCAGGCTGATTTGGTAGTAATTGGATATGCTTGTACAACAGTTCCCTTTTCCGAGCTTTTCTGGATTTCTCCTTTGTTCGTTTGTGTTTAATTTTGTTAGTATTTTTTATTTTAATAACACTAATGAAGACCCCAACAGCGCCTATGCAAACACAGGGACAACCTTTTATGGATTCCTGGGCATTTGTTTGAAATTCAGATGCATGTTGGATGCAGAAATGAAATATTTTCAAAAGAACACCTACATACAGTATTGACATTTCTCCTCTGTAAACGTGGTAGATAATTTTCCCAAAAGACCGATGTAAATATGCATGTGAAATAAGAAGCTGAATCATACTTATTTAAATGTAGCAATACTTGAAAAAAAGTGTAGTTCTCCTAAAAAACCAAACTTGATGCACTACAATACTGTCCCTTTGACACATGACAATCTATCATAATTCATCAAAATTGTTGTACTTTCTTGAAACATGAAGAAATGTTCAAAACATGACTATTCAAATACAAGTACAATTATTCAATATAAGTTGATTGTTTAAATTGTTTTGCTAATTATACTTGGTGATTTTCACACTGTAGAATAAAGGACCTGGGATGTTTTTAG